GAGGATTGCAGGTGAAATGTGATTGACATTGGCAGTGCTGTGAAAAAGGAAAGCTGCGGAAGAGCGAGTAGTATCGAGTTTCATATAACACTTTGAGATGTACCCATGCATCGAGTTTGGCAGGCTTGGGTGTGCATGTATCATCTTCAAGTGTTCAATGAATGCTATCATTTTGGCTCAAGTAAACTTGAACCAAAATAGCATTCATTGCGGTTTTCTTTCCCCACCCTCCCAACCCTAAGAGCCGACCTCCCGTGGAGATGTCCGCCTAGGTTAGGGGAGCCTGCACGGCAGGCGAGTCCATAGCCTCTTTCGGGGACCCTCTCTTGGGGCGACCAAGAGAGCCTTCCCTCCCTTAGGTTTAAGGGATGGGTGATACCTGCTGAGCAGGTTCCAGCCTGGGTTGCCAGGCAGCTGACCAGCGGTGATACTGGTCTGAGGCTATGTACATGTCACAACGTGACGACCCAAAGCAAACCTGAGGATTGCAGGTGAAATGTGATTGACATTGGCAGTGCTGTGAAAAAGGAAAGCTGCGGAAGAGCGAGTAGTATCGAGTTTCATATAACACTTTGAGATGTATATGTATTTCTTTTTCGTGCTATTTCTTTTGTTTTCTTTGTCTGGCTTCTACCTTGGCCATTTTGAGGGAATGCCCCATAGAGACTAGCACGGTTTTTGCTGGTTAACATTATATAACATATTTAACATCCTGATTTTTGGTTGATTATATACAATATATTCCTGTGGATGATGTAGCAGTGTACGTCCCAGTTTAATGCCAGCGTCAAATGATGGGTGTTGCACAGGCTGTGGCTGCAGTGCTGCTGGGGGTGTCTGTGTACCTTGGTGGCAGAGGGCTCGAAAGAAAAGAACATCAACCCATATGAGCCATACAAAATACCTGGTTGATTGGTTGATATAGGGACTTATACTACCGGGTTTATTGGGAATTATGATAACCCATAGTAGGGAAATCTATCAAGCAACTAGGAGGTCCTTCATTTTGGTCTTCAATAAAAGCGGGATAGGACTGTAATCAGCACCATTGTGGCATACTGTTTCCAGCAAAATTTTGGGCCCCGCATGGGACTCGACAAGAAGTGTCTAACACTATGGAGGACACATCCTGGGTTGGTGGTTCCAACTTGCTTTGCCTGGCCACTTGAACATAGCGACATAGCGCTGGAACTGGCAATGGAGCCTCTGCACGTTGGGAAAATCATAGACAAAAAATGAATATTGATGGATATCAATGGGAATTTCAGGATCCTTATATAGGCCTTATATATGGTAGGTACCTCCATTTTAGGATCCTGAAATTCCCATTGAGGATATTGCTGGTGCATTTCCCGGGAAGTCGATTCCCTGGTGTTTTCTGGCGCCTGGTCAGGGTGGTTTGCTTGGTGCCTTCGCCCATCACTGCCTCAGCTGCCGTGAATCCAGAGGTTGGTCAGGGGAAGACGTTGGCGTTTCGGGGTGCTGCAACAGCCTTGTAATGAGAAGATGAGGTAATCATGGGTTAATATTCGTTAATATTGGGATGATATTGGGATAACAGCCTTGTAATGTCACAATGGGTTATACAATATTGGGATATGGTATGGTGAACTCAATGGGTATACGGTATACCCACAAGGATGGCATTGTTCGCAGGGGAGAATGATGATTAACCACTTGATTCTGCGGTACCATATTTTCAGACAAACAGAAATCATCGCTAGAAGAGAGGGAACATGGATAAACATGGATGAACATGCATGAACATGGTTGTTTTCTCTCGTCTGTTGGGTAGCAACCCTCCAGTGCACGGGATTAAAACGCCATGAGCCTGAGGAGTTGTCACCTATGAACCTTACAGCCAGTAGACACAGGGATTTGGCCAACAAGAATCTGGGTGTGTGATCGAACCAACAAACAGGGAAATGCACCATGCTCAAGCATCGTGATGACTTGGGTGTGCCTCACAATTCTCGACCCCAAGAAATCATGGTTCAAATCCAGCCACCACTGTTGAGTGCCTGCATGTTGACAGGTGATATTCCCACTTATATTGTTTTCATCATAAGATCCCCAACGTTTGTCCCGACCACAATTGTCATTTAACAATATTTAACATTTTTTTTTGCAGGATCATTATTAAATGTTAACTATTGTTAGATGACAACCATATGGTTATTAAATGTTAACTATTGTTATTAAATGGTGGATTGTGCATAGATTATCAAACCTCCTTTTTATGGACAATCCACCATTTGTAGGATCATTTCTTTGGGACACCGCAGGGATGGAAGGGGACGCCAGGAGAAATTCGAGTGGCCTGCGCCTGAAAAATGTCTTTGTCTCTTTGACGTGGACAGAACTCTCACATCCAGGCGAATTGGTGGTGTTGATGGAGCTTTCATTGGATGGCTTACAGCATTTTCTTGGGAAAGCCTATTTCTTTGTCCTGGAAGTGAATTGTACTGTACAAATCTGTACAAGGTTTTCCTGGAAACTAGTGCATCCCTTCAATCCTGCCGAGTCATTGGGGAAACACATGGAGATCTCACGAAAAGTCATCCTTCGAGGATTGGGTTCAAGAGCTGAGGGGATTCGTTACCTCTTTTCAACTTGGTACGATGGGGGGTATCCCTGGACAAGACGATGATTTTCTCGGGAGCATACTATCATACAGGGGTATGGCTCCAGTTACCTGGTTCAACCATTTTGACACGGCCATTTCTAGCCTTAAAAGCTCAGAGAAACTTGAAGTCATCTTCACCGTTCCCGGCATGACGCCAGCATCTGCAACGCTTGGCTCAGTGGCCAATCCGTCTACGGGTATAGATGTTATATGACAGGGGCACAGTACATTTTTTGCATTTGGTGTAATTTTTGAAAGCATCAATTCATAGGGCTTGGTTCAAAATGGTGGCCCCTGAAATCCATTAGTTCATCATTATTTCCCGATTCGAAACTGCCATCTTCGGCGCCAGCTCGCCATGGCCACCCCACGCCGAAAAAGAAAGGGATGCGGAGCTGGCGACTGGGCGCGGTGACTTAAGGGTCCTGATGCTAAGGGTCCTGAGGTTGCAACTATATGCACATACTCACACATGTGTATATATATATATATATATATGTATGTATATATATATATATGTATATATATATATGTATATATATATATGTATATATATATGTATATATATATATACATATATATATATGTATATTGTGAATTTCCCAACGAACCCTGTCGTTGTGTGTTTCCATTCACTTGTGATGAATTCTCATCAAAACCTTGCTGAATATATTCCAACCAGGAATCCCTATCCAAACCAGCCGAGAGGGGAACAAACCATGTTTCATGTGCCTTAGTGTTTTAGGCTTGAGGACAAGCCGTGGTGGGCGAGGTAGGGATCCAAAGCACTTGCAGCCATTCGATCGCGGTCGATCCTTTAAGCTGTGGCCAGCTTGTTGAACGTGGTATCATAGGCTTTGGAAGCCTTGCTTGCTAGGCAGCCGGTTCGAAGGACTCTCAACCTTTTGTGGCAATCACCAGGTGAAAAGCTGCTATCTTGGGAGTGAGGGATTTGGTGCTGCCAGTGTGATACCACTCACACTGGTAGCGGAGCTACCTACGTTTTGTTGCTCCAGGGGATACATCATCTTTGGAGGTCACCATGGCGCAACCAAATGGTGACCCATCAGAGGGAACTGCAACCATCTCCAACCAGATGGCCCAACTTGTGCCAAGCTTTGATCCGTCGAAGGACGACCTGGAACAGTACAAGCAGAAAGTCGAATTGTTGAGCGAGATCTGGCCCGAGAACAAGGTCAATGAATTAATCACCAGGTTAATTCTCAATACAAACGGCTCTGCTTTCCAGAAACTTCAATTGAATCGTGCCAAGTTAATCACAGGTGACAAGGCAGGGATTGAACTGTTGATATCATTGCTTGGAGGACAATGGGGCAAAGTAAGTCTGGAAAAAACATATGAGATCGTGGAGAAGGCGTTGTTCAAGTGCGTCCAGAGACAGGACGAATCGAACGATTCTTTTCTGGCTAGGTGTGATGTGGTTTGGTCTGAACTCAAGGCCAAGAAAATAGATTTGGATCAGGTGCATGCGTACATAGTGCTTCGAGGATCTCTTTTGACAACGGAGGACAAGAAACGTGTGATCCTGGAAAGTGAATCTTCCACTCAGGGAGCTTTGACAATTGACAAAGTTGGCCAGTCTGTCAGGATGCTTGGAACAGCCTTTTTCAATGAGATGATCGGTCAAAAGAAATCAAAAGGGAAGATCTACGATCAACAAACGTTTTTGACTGAAGATGTACAAGATGAGGGTCATGAATCTCATGTGTATGTTGCGGATGAAATCGGGGAAGAAGAGTACTATGAACAGTTGCTTTTGGACGAAGACGAGGACGCTCTGCTGATTGCAGACTATGAGTCAGCAGCTGCAGACACACTGCAGTCAGACGAAGATCTGGCCAGCGCATACAATGCGTACAGTGACGCGCGCAAGCGCTTGTCCGATCGTTTCAAGAACCGTGGGTTTTGGCCTGTGAGCTCTGGGAAGGGTAAGTCCAAAACTCATGGATCCAAAGGCAAAGGGAAGAGTTACGGCCGTGGTCCCCGGAAAAGTTTGCAGCAAAGAATCATGGAGAGTACATGCAGGCACTGTGGAAAGAGAGGTCATTGGCGCGCAGAGTGCCCAGAACGCCGAAATGCCTCAGCCAGTAGTGCAGCCAGCACGGCAGTCACCATGACAGCCGAAGCAGTTTCCCTCGAGGGTGAGCCCGATGCTTTGCCGATGGAGTTCATCCAATTGCCCGTGGTTCCAGACGTTACCATAGATGATCCTAGTTTGCATTTAATTAATGTCAGCATGGCCATTCCAAATGAGCTTCGGGAACGTCTCAAGCACAAGGGGTCTTGGGATAACAATAGGGGTAAGAACCTGAAAAGCCATCCTCCCAGGAATGAAGCCTCCTGTCATTTGCCGATGAGAGCCAGTGATCAGCCGAAGATCCGTGAGCCTGATTTTGCACTTTTTGCGTCACATGGAACGTCAGGCATCTTAGACACAGGTGCCACGAAGTCTGTGATTGGCAGCAAGCTGTTGCCATCGTTTCTTGAGGGTCTGCCCAAGGAAGTTCGAAGTCAACTGTCCAGGACATCGTGTGACATCACTTTCAGGTTTGGCAATCAGGGAACTTTAGACAGCAGTCAAGCGTTGGTAATTCCCCTCAAATCAATTGGATTGGGATTAAAAATAGCCGTAGTGCCTGGGGAAACACCATTGTTGTTGTCAAATACTTTGTTGAGAACCCTCAAGGCCAGCATCAACAGCGAGTGTCAGGTACTGTCCAGCCCCATGTTCAAACATGATGTTCATTTGCAACTGAGTGCTCGTGGTTTGTATTTGTTGGATGTGAATGAGCTGCTGAAAGCACAGAAGGGGCCCAGTGACAGGACAAGCCTGACCGTTGCAGAAACGTTCACCAGCCATGATTTTTCCGAGTGCAAAAGTGAGGAGAGCCACCAAACTCACCAAACAACTGCCAATTCCAGTGAAAGCAACCGTAGCCTTGCCACATGCCATGACATGAAATCAGAGCTTCAATCCCATGAGAACGATTCACACCACACATGCAATCGTGCCCAGAAGTTTTGCAAAGCACCTGAACAATCAAACCAACAGAAAGAGATTTTTCAGAGCCACCGTGAGTCCAGCCGTCAGCTGAAACATGAATACACAGAGACCTCCTGGCCCAAAAGCCCACATCCGACCTTTTTAGATCTTGTGAAATCGACCAACTCATCAAGTCGCAATGAGTTTGAGCAGCCGTTTCGATCGAATCATGGCCAAGGCGTCCGACGACACCCTGGAACAGTTTCAACAGCTGACAACTCAGGAGATGGGAGAAGCCAAGATCACGTTTGGAAAAGCCCACATGGGGCGAACCTATATGGAAATGTGGTTGGAGGAGCCAAATTGGGTCAAGTGGTTCATCAGGACCTACTCAGACAGCCAGAAGATAGAACATCGAAAGTTCCTGATGTTTTCCGAGAAGATGATCTCAGCTCACGAACAGGAGCACCACCTGCCACCGATGGAATCCATGACGCAGGGAGTTGTCCTGCCACGCTGCAAGGGACAACCAAAAGCCAAGGCATCAGCCTCAGTGGCTCCCTTCGTGTCCATGGAGACCAGCTCCAACATCGGGACCGAACAGTGGGATGTGATGGATCCAGAAGACCTTCTGATCCACAATGCGAGGGGACTCCAAGAAGATCATCACCAGGAGAGCATCGAAGCCCTGCAAGCCAGAATGATGCACGTGGAGAATGCCTTGGTGGAGATCTTGCAGCACGTCCGACCGTCCAACAACTGAGAGATGGCAGGGATTGCGCATGCTTGGCAGGAGACATTGATAACGATTTTGAAGAGTCAATTTTCAACACCACCTCTAACAATAATCGTCATCAAATCTTCCATCAACTTGTAACTCAAATGACAAAAGAATTTCATGAAGTCTCCAAACAAGTAGACAGCCGATCAGCAAAGCCAATTCAGGTGCTCGAGGTCTTTTGCAGCTCAACAAGTGAACTGACCAAGCAAACGAATCAGTTGGGGTATCGAGCCTGCAGGTATGGATATGAACAAGGTGATCTTTCCACAAAAGAGGGCAGAGCAGGTTTGTTCAAAACTGTTGTTCAACAGAGACCTAATCACATATGGTACAGTCCAACATGTGGACCCTGGAGTTCCTGGAGTCAGTTCAACGAGATGAGAAGCACCGAAAGCTTTGTCGAAGTGCAACGAAAGAGGGAAGAAAATCTCTTCCAACTGGCCCTGGGACTGGTCCTTTTCCGTGTACAGCAGAATGCAGGTCGACACATGCACTGGGAACAACCGGCCAGATCCATCATGATGCGCACCCCAATGTTGTGGGAGATCATTCAAAATACTCAGGTTGCCAAATTCGACATGTGTAGAGTAGGTGCCCTCCGAGACCCCATGAATCAACTGCTGTATAGAAAGGGCATGGAAATTCACACCACTTCAAGAGAATTTTTCTTTCACTTCAATGGATTAACGTGCAACAAGCAACATCAACATCAGCCACTTGAAGGGGAGACCACAGTAAGGGGAATGAGAATCAAGAGAACTGAATTTTCTGAAAACTACAGTCGAAAATTTGCCCGAAAGATTGCACAGGTTTTGACAAAAGTCAAATGTCAGCGTAGCAAGCCCATGGGAATCTCTGAAGCTTTTGCAACCGATGCCAAAAGAGCCACCAGTGCATCCCTGGCACCTGCGACTAAGCGAGCGAAACTGACACCTGTCAGTCCACTGATTGAACCCAGTGAGATGCCGGCAAAGAAGCGTCGCCTCCATGAGAAGACCACCGACAATGTAGGTACCCTTTGCATCCAACTTTGCGAGAAGATATCCAGCCTAGCTCCTCGGGTAGGTAGGAAAGAGATCAGTGACCCCACCATTCTTGCAGGACTTCAAGAAGTTTTCCATGATAAACAAATAGTCCGGGTTGTGATTTGCAAAGGGACGGAGAGAACCATCACTCCCCCAAAGAACATGATGCCAGCAGAAGCCCCTTTTCGCAGAGCAATCATCATTCAAAGACAAACCAAAGCAATCAAAGTAGAAGGACAATGGGAGGAATGGCGTCACTTGTCAGCCAGACAGCTGTGGCGACGGTCACATCCGTCCTTTTTGAATATAACAGTGTTCGCTCGAAATCCACCCGAGATTTCACCACCTGCCAGCGAGAGTCAAAGACCAAGTAGCCATGAAGTATCGGAACCCAGTGGTGCAGCCCAATCTCCAGCACCGGATGTGCCAGCCAGTGAACCTTCAAGCGCACCAGCCCTTGATAGTCAGCTGCAGCCACAGAGTGTCGAAACACCCGAAAGCACCAAGGAACCGAGTCAGATAGATTTCGAAAGCAAGGACCATGGTCCCAAGTTCATGATCATGTCACCAGAAAACAAGAAACTTGCCATTCGACTTCATAAAAACTTGGGTCACCCAGATCCCACCAAGTTGAGTAAAGTACTACAACAAAGGGGCTACTCTGAGGACTTGGTGCGAGGAGTGTTAGACCTCAAATGTTCCATATGCCAAATGCAGCAGCAACCGAAACTCCAGCGTCCTGCGACACTTAAGGAAGAACTGAATTTTGGTGATAAGATATCAATGGATGGGGTAAAATGGAGTAACAAACAGGGCCAAGACTTCCATTTTTACCATTTCATTTGTCATGGTACCAACTATCACACCGCAGTAGTGGCACCAAATCGATCAGAAGTCCAGGAAAGATTCACCACCGGATGGCTCAATTGGGCTGGTCCTCCCAACTCAGTCATCATGGATTCAGCATCCGAATTTGTGTCGCAAGCGTTTGAAGAGTTTCTTCAAAGCCTAAATGTGCAATGCACCGTGGTCCCTCCAGATGCCCACTGGCAGATGGGTCGTATTGAGCGACACGGTGGCGTTCTCCAATCAATGTTAAGCAAATATGAGTTGGAACATGATGTCACTGACTATTTCCAATTCCAACAAGCACTTACACATTGTACCATGGCAAAGAATGCATGTAGCTTGAGACATGGATACTCACCAGAGACCCTTGTTTTCGGCCGTGGTTTGAGAGTTCCAGGTTCCATTGTTGGAGACGACACTTTGCCAGCTCATGCCATCGCAACCAACGATGACAGCCAGGGCATTAGGTTTAGGAAAGTGCTTGCAATGCGAGAGACTGCACGGAGGGCATTTCATGCAGCTGACAATGACATGGCGATCCGTCGAGCAGCACTAAGACGAGATCGTCCCCATAGAGGAGCCTATGAACCTGGAGAATGGGTCATGGTATGGAAATCCCACCTAAATAAAGGTTCATGGGTTGGTCCTGCAAAGGTGATAATCCAAGACGGTCCCACGTCAGTGTTTTGCAACAATGCAGGATCCGTGATGCGAGCCGCTCCAGAACACATACGCCCAGTCAGTGCAGTAGAAGCAAGACTCATTCCCATAACTGAAAATCCCTTGTCAATGCTGAGAGCTTCACCAGTACCACCACATGCCCAGGTTCCCAGTAATCCATCAAATCAAATTCCCAATGCAAGCACAGCCAATCAAACAGCCGCAGAAGTGTTGGTGCCACCAGAAAATGCTAGACCAGCAAGCTCAGGAACGTCCGAACAGCCTGACCAAGAGCCTGATGAAAACTCTCAGGGTAACCTCACCATCAAAAATGAGAATATATCCGTTGAGAATAGTCCCAATAACAGTGAACCACGCAACGCTCAAATAAACAATCCTGAAGGTGAAAATCAATCCCAACTAGAACCCCATGAAATACCACTTCCAGATGCCACTGATGATGAACTTTTGTGTGATCTCTTGACTTGCACTGACAGCGATGCTTCCGAAACCTTTGCGCCAGACGGCAAAGACCATGTCTGGAAAGCAGAACTCGAATTCACCCAAGCTCAGTTGGATGAGATGTGCGTTTTCCAGGAAAATCCATGCGAAGAAGATTTCCTCATGTTGGCAACAGCCTCCAAGAAACAACGTACTGAGGTCAAATTGAGCACTCTAGATCCTCATGAGCGCCAAGAATTCGAGGCCGCAAAGGCCAAAGAGGTGAACAACTGGCTTCAGACTGGGACGGTGGAAAGGATGTTCCGGAATGCCTTATCACCTGAACAAATCCTTAGGTGCCGATGGCTGTATGTGTGGAAACCCATAGAATGTCCTAAAGAACAAAAAGAAAACGGGGGGCGTAGTCGCAAGGCAAAAGCTCGCCTGGTGGTTTTAGGATACCTAGATCCACAACTGGAGACAATTCCTAGAGACAGCCCAACACTTGGGAGAACCTCAAAGATGCTGATAGCCCAAGTGATTGCCTCCATGAGATAGACACTCATGTCGTTTGACATCAAAGCAGCGTTTCTTCAAGGCCGCACCCAAGAAGGAAGGGAAATAGCAATAGAGCCAGTCCCAGAAATGGTGAAAGCCATGGACTTGAAGTCCTCAGAGGTCTGTAAGCTCATTAAATCAGCATATGGTTTAATAGATGCCCCATTTTTGTGGTTCACAGAGCTCGACAACACTTTACGCAGTTTGAACTTCATACCATCCCCATTTGATCCCTGTCTTTATTTACTCTTCAAACCAGGAGCAAAAGAGCCATCGGGTATCCTTGGGGTTCATGTAGATGATGGTCTCTGCGGAGGTGACAGTTATTTCCAGTCTCAGGTGAAAGCCCTTGAGGCAAAATTTCCTTTCGGATCCCGCAAATCCCAAAGCTTTGTGTTCACAGGAATCGAAATGAGCCAACAAAATGACTCAAGCATTGTCATGTCACAAGAGAAATATGTTTCCAAAATTGAACCAATCCACATCAAACCAGAAAGAAAATCACAACTTGAAATTCCCGTCACCGAACGAGAGAGACAAGATCTCCGTGCACTTATCGGATCACTTCAGTATGCCGCAGTAAACACGAGACCTGACTTGTCAAGCAGATTAAGTTTCATCCAAAGTGACATCAACCAAGCGACGATTGCAACACTCATACAAGGAAATCAGATACTTCATGAAGCCAAAAGACACAAAGACACCTCCATTCGCATACAACCCATTCCTATGGACAAAATCCGGTTTTTGGCATTTTCAGATGCATCATTCGCTTCCAAGAAACAGCCAGAATCACACACAGGTACCATTATCATGACAACTCACGAAGACATCGGAAAGAATCATGTATGCCCGGTGAACCCAATCAGCTGGGGATGCAAGAAAATTCAACGAGTAGTGACGAGCACTCTGGCAGCAGAGACCACTTCCCTTTCAACCACCCTTGACCAACTGTCGTGGTTGAGATTGTTTTGGAGCTGGATACGAAACCCATGCACTGATTGGAAAAATCCATCAAAGACCCTCAAAGAATTACCATCAACATTCACCACTGCAACATTCAAAGAAGATCCATCAATTGCGGTAACCGATTGTAAATCCTTGTTTGATTTAATCACACGAACAGCTCCACCACAGTGCCAAGAGTTCAGAACCCAGTTACAAGCAAGAGCAATCAAAGACATGATAGCTGAGGGAGTAAAGGTAAGATGGGTCCATAGTGCCGCACAACTTGCAGATGCTTTGACCAAAATCATGCAGACCCATTTCCTCCGACACACCTTGAAAGTAGGTCAATATAGCCTGCACGATGAAGGGCAAGTCTTGAAGGAACGTGCAACGAGCCGATCCCGCATGAAATGGTTGCAAACCTGCAATGATGAGAATCTTGAAAATAAGGAAGAAAAACATCTTTTGGGAGTGTGAATTTCCCAACGAACCCTGTCGTTGTGTGTTTCCATTCACTTGTGATGAATTCTCATCAAAACCTTGCTGAATATATTCCAACCAGGAATCCCTATCCAAACCAGCCGAGAGGGGAACAAACCATGTTTCATGTGCCTTAGTGTTTTAGGCTTGAGGACAAGCCGTGGTGGGCGAGGTAGGGATCCAAAGCACTTGCAGCCATTCGATCGCGGTCGATCCTTTAAGCTGTGGCCAGCTTGTTGAACGTGGTATCATAGGCTTTGGAAGCCTTGCTTGCTAGGCAGCCGGTTCGAAGGACTCTCAACCTTTTGTGGCAATCACCAGGTGAAAAGCTGCTATCTTGGGAGTGAGGGATTTGGTGCTGCCAGTGTGATACCACTCACAGTATATATATATATGTATATATATATATATGTATATACACACATACATGTATGTATACATATGTATATAATATGTAAACCTATATATATATAATATGATATGATATGGATGATGATAGATGATGGTTTCAAGAAAGTTAGCACATTCTAACCATCAACTATGGGGATTAACATTGGGATAATCCCATCCTGCCAATATTAGATACCCCCAGATGCCACTCAAAATGAACAATTCCAATACTCAACCAAGTTTTCTAGGGGTGCATTCAATATTGGGGGCAGGGATTACCACGATATCCAAAGAGATATGTAATCAAATAATGGGATATTCAACCGTTAACGAGCAATAATATGATGGTACAATGGGGATATAATGGAAGTAAAGTTGAAATGGGTTTCCCTCACGACAAACCCATGTGGCAGACCTAACATGTCACTGCAAGTGGAAATGGTTTCTCATATTTTCAAAGCCACATGAGAAGAATTGGGTATGGCTTTCTTGTTAGATTTACCGCAGAACTTAAGCTGCCAGTATCGGTACATCCCCATGTATTAACAATGGATGATGGGATGGAACAATTTCTTCGAAGCAGCAAAGCATGGGTATTTCTACCATTACCCCCCAGTAGATTGACATGGACCCTGCAAATAGCGAAAATTTTAGGGTTGAGACCAGCCTTCCGAGCCCCTATTTGGCAGGGTCTATGTTAATTTACTGGAAGGTAAATATTGTGGGGCTTATGCTGGGTCAGTGGGATAACTCCAAATGATCAGGATGCAGCAACTAGTTTGCCCAGATACATGGAGTGCTGGTGAGTAAGCAACAATAGGCACACAGGGCTACAAGAAAGGGGGTTGAAACAGAGGAACTTCTTATGCACCATGGCTGCAGAGCGCAAGTTATGGGTACGAACCAGAAAACATGGAGTTTATATAACCATCAGGTACATCAGGGCCAGGAATGATCGGGGATTGATGGGATGAAATAGTGTCCAAGTAGAAGTTATGGGCAGCCCACCATGGTATGCTTATTTGAAGAGGCTGCAAGATGAGCCAACTATGGTCTGCAATGGGACTTACTAAGCGAGGTACCAACCAGTTGAGTCGTTCAACCCCAATAAACGAAGATTCCTATTTCGAGAAACCAGCCCCGGATCATTGATGGCATCTTCATCAACTGGTAGCCGATGGTAGTGCTACATGCCCATCTTTTGAGACATCAAGTTTCACTGCTAGTGTTGTGACGCCCTCCTACGCACTGATGAGCTGTCATAACACCATCCCTTGTATCTGGCCACCATCTTGGTGGGTCCAAAATACTGCACTTCTGAAGATACCCTCTGGCAAACTAACATAACTATGGAAAATCACCATTTTTAATGGGTAAATCCACTATAAATGGCCATTTTCAATAGCTATGTTAGTTTCCCAGAGGGTATCGTACGTGTGTTTCTCTTGCTCCAAGAAATACCCACTGGGAGCGCCCATGATTTGGAGCATCACTCTGCTTCAATGCTCAGGACTTCCATTTTATGGCTTCACTTTTGGCTGTTGCCAGCCTGTCACCTCGACTTCGCAGATGAGGACCGTCCATTGGGCCAGTCCATTGGGGTCCATTGGGGGGAAGGATGACCTGCTTTCCACGATGGCTGGTAAGCGAAGAGAACAATCGCATTTCCCGAATTGTAGATGATTTTGCTGTTGAAGACGGCCATGTTCTGCGATGTTCCATTGCCATGTTTCATTGGCAGAGTGTTTTGCCACATTTCATTTGGCGCTTCTCCAAGCCATAAAATGCCAGATCTTCACAGATTTTTTTTTCCGTTTTTCCAACCACAGGCGCGCCAGGCCCAGGTGCATCCTGACCACCTTTTCCCAGCTCCGTGTTCTCGGCTGCGCCATGGCTGCGTCGAACTTGTCGCGTTCGGCCGAGGATCGCAATGATCGCGCTGCGCTGCTGGCACCGGACCTGGAGCGAAAGGCGGAGGAGTTGAAACATCAGCTGCAGACCACCGTGCAGTCGGACATTTGGATCGGACTTGGATCGGATTGTGGGGCAAATTAACGTAGATGTGTAAAAAAACATGGTTTCCCTGGGAAAATCCATCTGCAGATAATCTGCAAATGATGGGTTTCCATGGGTTTTCTACATCTATCTTAGTTCACAGGAGGGTACGTGTTTGGTAAGTGTTTCACCGTTTCAGTGAGTTTTGAACACTTGGATGCCCTTATTTTTTGAAGCGGATTGCATTTTATACAACTTTCTATATATGGCATATGATGGCATATGCGATACAGACATTACTACGTTACGTTACGTTACGTTCGATTACGTTACGTTACATTACGTTACATTACATTACGTGACGTTGCGTTACTTTACGTTACATTGCGTTACATTACATTACGCATGCATTAACATTAACATTAACATTGAGATTCACATTCACATTTGCTCTTACTTTTGTCTTTGCTTTATATTACATTACATACAAACACAGACAGATAGATGGAGATATTATTTTCTCAAGTGGGAACGTGAAACAACAAACCAGGAAATCAACTTGCTCCGCAAGCTCATGGCCAGCAAGAAGATGGATGCCGAAAACTTCCGTGCACGCACGCAAGGAAGTTGGGAGATGATTGGAGTGGTTTCGGCCCTCTTTCTGACCATGGATCGCTACAACGAACTCCTTCACTGCGATGAGGAAAGCCTGGTGGGAGGTGTGCCCTTCTGTGAGCAGATCCATCCCTTCCTGGCAGGCACAGCCACGCTCTTTGCGGCCTGCTCGGTTGTCATGTCTATGATTTTGTACATTCAGATGACCTTTGTGCCAGATGAATTTTTGGGAGACTGGATGAGCAATCTCGCTTGGTCCGTGGAAATTCCCAACCGTTGCTTCATTTTGAGCGTGAGTTCATGGGCCTTGGATCTCTTGTGGCAAGGAGTGATACACCATGGGACCTTCGGGCTCGCCTTCTCCGTCCTAGTCTTGGTGCCTGCCTTGTTGATCGTCTTGTTCTACCTCGGGACCAAAAACTTGACCAACAACTACCTGATGATGGCGGCTGCGGCTGCTGAGCAAGAATTACACTGAGAGAACCTCAACTGGAGGGGGAACCTGCTGCAACTTAGCGGGGAAAAACAAGAAATCACCAAGACTTACAACAACTTGGCATTTCTTTATCTTTAGATATCTTTAGTATCTTTAGTGATGACTTCAGAATCTTCAGCCATGTCCAGCCACTGCTGCACAAAGTGCGACAGGAGGCGCATCAGTTGTCATCAATGGATGCAATAGATGTTGATCTGAAGCTGCGATGCCCGTGACAGCCTTCTTTTCCTCTCGAAGGGAGGTCAGAGGCTATCATGTTCATCAACCATCGCAATGCCATCTGAGAAGGAAGCCGGCAGATATCTGGGGCTGGGCTGGTGACGTTTGGTGGATCTTAGTGCTTTTGGCCACAGGGGTGAACAAAAACTCATTCCCACGGCGGACTTCAAAAGGTTTTCTTCGCTTCTGCCAAGTGCTGAAGCTCATGCCCGTTGATGGACTGCCATGGATCCTGGTTTACCACCCAGTTAGCCGGAGTGGACAGTAAACACGACTAGTACACCCCCCCATTTTGGGACTTAACCCCATTTTCTAGGCCGGGTTGCAACTCTGTTTAACATGCAATAAACATCAATAAACATCAAGTAACAAACATACTTATAAATATATATATAATATAATATATATATATGTATACAGTTCTATACAATTATATGATCATATGATATATGAGATTATATGATATTGTATGCAAAAATAAAGACAAGTATATGTATATATGTATATATATGTATATATATAATATATATATATATAATATATAATATATATATAATATATATATAATATATAATATATATATAATATATAATATATATATAATACATATAATATATATATATAATATATATATAATATATATATAATATATATAATATATATAATATGTATATATATAATATGTATATATATATATATATATACGCACATCACTTACACATCATATCATATATCATATATCATATATCATTTATCATATATTATATATCACATATCATTTATTATATATCATATCAGCCACACATCATGTATACATTAATATACACACATCTCCATATATATATAAACACATACATATATAAATATATATATCTATCTATCTATCTATCTATCTATCTATCTATCTATCTATCTATCTATCTATCTATCTATCTATCTATCTATCTATCTATCTATCTATCTATCTATCTATCTATCTATCTATATATATGTTCATATATATATATATTGTGAATTGAACTCATTTGAACATCTTGTTGACTTGAAGACACCACGATAACACCCAGGTACACCAGTTTAGGTCTCTACTTTTCCATAGGCATGTATGCTCAAGAGAGCCCTGGAGACGTGGTGGGAGGGTCATTTGCCTTGGCCATAGCTACTGGTTCCTTTTGGCTGTGGAAAGCCATTTGCGGTAGTGGGACTACCTTGAATCGTGTGGCAAAAGCACGAGGGCGTGCGTGAGCGGTCAGGTGGCCGGTTGGTGGAGATCTTGGAATTGATAAGGGGGCCCGCTATCCAATCACATTGGTAGCGGAGCCCCCGGTGCAAGCTAAACCGGGGGCATCCAGGTACCTTTTGGGATTTGATTGACAAATTTGTGTGCGAGGCCATCTCAAATCTTTGACAGGAACGACATGTCAGGTGAAGGATCAGAGACGACAGGTGGAAGCATATCAAGTCAGTTAGCTTATTTGGTGCCGAGTTTTGACCCAAGCAAGGACGATGTACAGATTTATCAACAGAAGGTTCAACTTGTTTTGTCAGTGTGGCCTGCAGCAAAAGTTTCTGAACTGATCGCCCGACTGATCTTAAACACCAGTGGTTCAGCATTCGCCAAGTTGCAACTTCATCAGACAGAGCTGTGTGTGAACGATGCCAAAGGCGTGAAACGCCTGATTGAGATTCTGGGCGGACACTGGGGCCGAACCGGCCTCGAGAAACGCTACTCCGATGCCGAGAAAGCCATCTATCAGTGCAATCAACAGCAGGATGAAAGTCACGATTCCTATCTTGCCAGAGCTGACATTCTGTGGACAAAACTCAGGACTCAGGACTTGAAGCTTGAAGATCTTCAGGCCTATGTGACTCTCCGTGGTGCCATGCTGACAAATGATGATAAGAAGCGTGTCATTATTGAGAGCGACAATTCTGTGGAAGGAAAATTGACAGTAACCAAGGTGCAGGATTCAATCAGAATGCTTGGGACTTCATTTTTCCAAGAAATGACAGGTCAAGGAAAGAAGTCTCTCAAGACGAAAGTGTACGATTCAGTCAACATGTCACTGGATGTTTCTGAAAATTCCACAGATGCAGATGAATATGCCAACGTAGCCAGTCATGATGAGTGGACGGAAGAGGATTTCACTGAAGTGTTAGCACAAGAAGGCGACGACGACGCAGTGTATGTCATGGACTTTGAGACGGCGGCAGCAGATGTGTTGCAGGGAGACGAAGAACTCGCATCAGCATACACCACATATGTAGATGCCAGGCGAAAACTCAGTGAAAAATTCCGTGCCCGTGGTTTCTGGCCTGTTGGTAAGGGGAAGAAAGGATTCTCCAAAGGAAAGTTCAAATCCAAGACGGGTTGGAACGGCAGCCGAAAGAGTTTGCAACAGCGAATTCTTGAAAGTAATTGCAGGATATGTGGAAAGAAAGGGCATTGGAAATCCGAGTGCCCACAGAGATCTCAGTCCAATTCCAGTGGTTCAAGCTCAGTTCCCGTGACCTTGTCCCTGGGAGAAAACTCCATCGATGCCGAAGATGTCATGCCAATGGAGTTCATGAACTTGCCAGAGATTCCAGAAGAGCCGTCAAAGGACCCATCATCCGGTGTCTCTGATGTTTTTGTACAGACAGTTTTTTTCCGAAGTGCAGCATGTGATAATCAGTCCATAGGAAATCAACATGAGTTTGGTAACTGGGATAGAATGAAGGCTTATATTAAGGGTAATAACAGCCGTAAGTCTATAGTTGCCTCGCTCGTGGACAGGATTGAGTCCAAGCTGCGCCAACCAACCGCTGAGAGCCCATTGTGCCTGAGCACCAAACGCCATTTTGGCGATGCATCCGAAACCAAGCCCAAAGGGGCATTCCGATCCATGCGTGCCGAAGGTCAGGCCTCAAAAGAAGGTCATGACACAATCCAGCCATCAAACCAATGCAAATCGATGCCATCCAATTTTCCTGTAGCTGAGACCATGTTTGCCACACATGATGCATGGGGAATAATCGACACAGGGGCTACTAAGACTGTAATTGGAAGCCAACACATAGCCGAATTTCTTCAAGCACTTGATCCTTCCGTACGTAATCAGGTGAAGAGATGCAAATGTGAAGTTACGTTCAGGTTTGGAAACCAAGGAGTCTTGAAATCTCAACAAGCAATTGTTCTGCCGGTATGTGGTCTTGGCCTTAAAATTGCAGTAGTTCCTGGAGCCACGCCGTTCCTGCTGTCCAATACCTTCATGCGTGCGATGGGTGCCATGGTTGATACAGAGAATCACCAACTAATACTTCCCAAACACCAAATCAATGTTCCACTTCAACTCACTTCCAAAGGTTTGTATCTGATTGATGTGAATGCCCTCACGCGAGTTCAGAAGCCAGCAGGAAGTTCAGTCGAAATGGCCGAGACGTTTTTGCATGACGACCTGGAAACACCCAGCAAAAGCCAGAGCGTTGACGCCAACAGTCATGGAACTAAGGGTCCGAAGTCAGAACAGCCAGAGATTTCCATGGAGCCACGTGTCCAAGAACATGACAATGCCACGGAAACACACCCTTGTCACATGTCAACTTCAAATGATAATAAGAAACATGTCAAGTTCAGTATCAGTAATTCCTCAACAAATCTCTCTGAGAAATCCGACAGCATGAATGTGACAGGAACACCTGCTGACAGCCATCTTTCTCTGAACGAAAACTCGTGCCCAGATCGTGATCACAGTCAGATCGTTCACCATGAGCGACTGGGGTGCTCGCCTCAAGCGTGTTCAGGAAGCTCAATTGAGCGAGGAGACCGAAGAGATTCCCGATGTGAGCTTGGAAATCCTGAAGATGGAGACACTGACCTTCGGTCAGACCTATGTGGGTCGCACGTACGAGGAGTTGTGGAACCAGCACCCAAGCTGGATCAAGTGGTTCTACCAGCACTACAAGAAAAGCACGAAGGCTGCCCACAAGAGGGTCATCATGTTCATCGAGAAGCGCATTGCCGAAGCAGAATTGTCAGGACCGGTGACATCACAGTCACCAGTGACACCAGCTCCAAAGAGCCTAGCAGCACCCAAAGTGATGCCCACGCAGCCGAAGGCCAAATCCATGCCAAGATCATCAGCGGAGGAAGAGATCGAGCCCGAGCTACTGATGGAGCCAGGCAATCCGTGGCCTGCCACGGAAGACCGCCTGATGATTCATGGATTGCAGCAAAGGGTCCTCAACATGGAGAACGCCATTCACCAGATCCTGTCCCATCTCACTCCGGCCAATGCGGCAGTGCCGACAGCTGCACCATCAGTGATGTCCGCGACGGAGCTCATGAACGAGTGGGACGATCCCTGGAATCCATGAGAAGCCAGGCCGAAGAAGGCACACTCCTGTATTCAGCGGGGGAAATAGATGAGTTTTGCGAAACCATGCCAAACCAAGAAAGGAAGAGATTTTGGGCCCTAGTGGAATTGATCGAAAAGGAATATGAAACCATATCCAAAAGGGTCAAACCTATGGGAAAGCCAATTCATCTTATGGAAGTGTTTTGCAGTAGTGACAGCAGCCTGACAAAACAAGTTCAACAGTTGGGTGGCCATGCCATTCGGTTCGGTCTTGCTCAGGGTGATCTACAGACAGTTGAAGGACGCAAAGATTTGCTGACAGCCTTATGCCGCCATTGTCCAAAGCATGTTTGGCTGAGTCCGAGATGCGGTCCATGGTCATGTTGGTCCAACTTTAATCAAAATAGATCACTGCAGATGTGGGACAAAGTTCACTCGGACAGGCTGGAAATGCTTGTGCAGGTAGCACTGTGCCTCGTGCTGTCCCGCATCCAAGTGCGGAATTCCCGACATGTGCACTGGGAACAGCCCAAGGGTTCACTCATGCTAAGACTGCCGTATGTCCAAGAGATCTTCCAATACATGCTCATGGCCCAACCAGACCTTTGTGATGCCGGTAATCTGAGGGATCCCATAAACCAGAAACCCATTCGTAAAGGGCTTAACATAGCAACGACATCACAACAGATGTTTGCCACTCTAGATCCACTGCGATGCAACGGTCAGCATGAACATCAGGTCATAGAAGGCTCCACCTTTGCACATGGACAATCAATGCCTCGTTCAGTGTTTTCTGAGTTTTACCCTCGCAAGTTTGCCCGAATAATTGCCAAGGTCGTGACAAAAGTGAGATTTCCAAATGAACGTCCTTTGGGCCCAGTGTATGATCCCATCCTGTGCATGTTTGATCAAGTGTTGACCTTGAACTCACGACCCAGCAAGCGGCCGAGATTGGGACCAAGTCGGTCTCTTAAAGCCAAGACTGCCGACAGATCACTCAATGCACCAGATGATGCCAAAAGACTGAAGACTGTTGAGAAGGAATCAGAACAACCCATGGTGAACATGTCCAGTCCTGCCGATGCACAAGAAGTCATGTCCATGGTTGAGCCAATGTTGCCTCGAGTTGGTCGCAAAGAAATAGATCAGCCTAATGTTCTTCAACTGGTTCAGAAAGTTTTTCCTGATAAGAGGGTTGTGAAAGTCATAGCATGCAAAGGCACCGAGAGAGCCTTAGGTCCTCCGAAAAACTTGAATCCCAGAGAAGCGCCATATCGTAGGGCAATCATGAAATCAAGAACTGACTTGAAAGTGTACTGCCAAGAACAGTGGGAACAATATGATCAGATCTCAAACCGTCAAATCAACAAGAAATTGCATCCGTGCAGAGTGAATATAACTGTCTTTGCAGCGAACCTGGAAGGTTCTGGATCCGCCAGCGGTAGAAATGCGAATGCTGAGGCAGTAGCAGTGCCAGTTGTCAAAGCCACCGAGCCAAATGTGGATCCTCCCAAATCAGACAAAGAACAAAATGGTGAGACAGTTGACATAGATGTGCAACATAGAGATGAACAACCTGAGATTTCCGAACGTGCCACTTTTCAGCCTGATCAGGGAGTGTCCCATCCAAGCAGTGCTGAGGGTGTACAGGACGTAGAAAGTCATGGGCCGAGATTTAAAGCACTACCCCGTGAAGAACAGGCCATGCTGAAACGTGCTCATCAGAATCTTTGTCATCCAAGTCCAGAGCAGTTAAGCACAGCTTTGCGAAATCAAGGAGTACGTCCAGAAGTGTCACAGGCGGTGTTTGACATGTCATGTCCTGTTTGTGCCAAAACTCAGAAACCAAAAATTGCTCGTCCCAGCACATTGAAATGTGAGCTGGACTTCAATGATAAGGTGTTTCTTGATGGTATCACATGGACCAGTCAATCCGGTAAGACATTTCATTTCTATCACCTGATAGATCAAGCCACGAACTTCCATGTTGCTGTGCCAGCTCCAAACCGATCAGCCGAGAGTGCCATTCAGTGTGTCACCGAATCATGGCTTCAGTGGGCAGGACCTCCTAACAGTTTGATCACAGATTCAGCAACAGAATTTACAAGTGAACTGTTTGGAAATTTCATGCAACGCCACGACATCAAGCCTGTGACCACTGCGCCATATGCACATTGGCAGAATGGCCGTTGCGAACGTCATGGTGACATTTTGCAACACATGCTCATGAAAATTGACCTTGAAATGCCAATTAACTCATATGATGAACTTCACCAAGCTTTAGTCCAAAGCACTCATGCCAAGAACACTCTTAGCATTAGAAAGGGGTATTCTCCTGAAGTTTTGGTGTTTGGAAAGGGGTCACGGTTGCCAGGGTCAAACATGAGCAGCGAAAGTGAATCCTCCATGGCAAGTGCTGATCGTGCTGATGGACATGGAATATCATTCCGCCGAGATCTGGCACTTCGCGAGAGAGCACGAACCGCATTCCATCAAGCTGATAACGACATGGCCCTCAGAAGAGCTTTTCTCCGTAGAACAAGACCTGAAAGAAAATCATACAGTCCTGGAGAATGGATCATGATGTGGCAACCAACACAGCTAGGTGGACACTGGTTCGGACCTCTGAAGGTAGTGTCACAGGAAGATCGAAATGCAGTATGGGCCACACAAGGTGGCAAGTTGCACCGCCGGGCACCCGAACATGTTCGTCCGGTTTGCTCTCAAGAAGCCAGACAAATCCAACATGAAATGGTTCCCGCAAACCATCCAGCCGAGAATACCAATAATCCCAGTAATCAACATGCCATAGATAATGACCACATTCAAATTCCCGTAACCAATAATCCCTATAATCCTCCCCATCAGAATAATCCTGAACAAAATAACATGCCATCCAATACCTCGAGCACTTCACAGGATCAACCAGACAATGAACCAGAAGCCAGCACACCACATGACAACCACAGTGAACTCACACAGGATCCAGCAGTTGAAACACCAGTGCCAGAACTTCCATCCGATGATGAACTTGTAACCACACATATCCTTTGTTGTGAAGAAGAGATTCTGACAGTAGATCCAATGGAAACTCCGTGTGCCTGGAGATGTGAACTTGAAGTGCCTACGACTGTGTGCATGGACCATGCCAGGACTTGGACTGCCGATGAAATCTTGTTGGCCACAGCTGACAAACGTCAGCGCACTGAGGTGAAATTGTCTGCATTGTCCGAGCATGAGAGAAAAGCATTCCAAAGTGCCAAAGAAACGGAAATCAATAATTGGTTGAAGACAGGGACAGTATCCAAAGTTTTGAGATCCCATTTGGCCCCAGAACAAATCTTGAGATGCCGATGGATTTTAGTATGGAAACCTTTGGAAGATCAGAAAAATGCAGACAGCTGTGACCAACCCAAATTGGCAACACACAAACCCAAAGCCCGGCTAGTTGTCCTTGGGTATCTTGATCCAAACTTGACAGAAGTTCCCAGAGACAGCCCAACGTTAGGTAAGCAGTCAAAAATGCTGATCCTACAGTTAGTAGCTTCAATGGGTTGGAGTCTTGGATCATTCGATATCCGTGCAGCGTTCCTACAGGGGAAACCTCAAAAGAACCGGATCATTGGTCTTGAGCCAGTTCCAGAACTGGCCAAAGCTATGAAGCTGAAAGAAACAGAAGTTTGTAAGCTAGAGAAGTCTGCGTACGGTCTCATCGATGCACCGTTCCTTTGGTTTCAAACGCTTCAAGAAGAACTGACAAAACTAGGCTTTGTGGCATCACCTTTTGATCCGTGTGTGTTTGTCTTGAGGCACCCTGACACACAGGCACTGGCGGGAATTCTCGGTGTCCACGTGGACGATGGAATCCATGGAGGCGATGAATTTTTTCATCAACAGATTTCCAAGCTGGAGTCCAAATACCCATTTGGATCGAAGAAATCAAGAGCATTCACCTTCACGGGGATCGACTTGAAACAGAACACGGACAACAGCATCACACTTTCACAATCCAAATATATCAAGAATATCAATCCCATCCAAATCAAGCCTGAACGTAGAGCCCAAGAAAATGAAAATATCACAGAAGCAGAAAAACACTTACTCCGTGGTCTTATCGGGTCCCTCCAATATGCAGCAGTTCACACACGACCAGACCTCACAAGTTCACTAAGCCAACTCCAATCCAAAATCAATTGTGCAACCGTCCAAACACTTATAATGGCCAATAAGACATTGCATATTGCCAAGAAACACAGCGACGTAACCATCACTATACACCCAATCAAAACTGATGATCTTCGATTCATAGCGTTTTCGGATGCTTCGTTTGCCTCGAAATCCAAACCTGAGTCACATGCAGGGATGATCATCTTATCAACTCATAAGGATATATCCCAAAATAGATCTTGCTTGGTAAGTCCTTTGTCTTGGGGAACCAAAAAGATACAGAGAATTGTCACCAGTACGTTGTCGGCCGAGACCTCAGCCCTATCGACAACATTAGATCAGCTAACATGGCTACGTCTGTACTGGGCATGGATCTTAAACCCCAAAATAAAGTGGCAAAGACCTGAGTCCGTTGATCTTCCAGCAGCATACACGGTACCGACAGTGAAAATTGAAGAAAAGGATTTAGCCATCACCGATTGCAAAAGTCTCTTTGATCTCACAACTCGTACTGCTGTTCCAAACTGCCAGGAGTTCCGTACTCAATTATTAGCAAGGTCCATAAAGGACATCCTTTCAGAAGGGATAAGCCTGCACTGGGTTCATTCCGGGGCTCAACTTGCGGACGCATTAACCAAAGTCATGGAAGCTAGCTTCCTAAGGGAGACCTTGAAACAAGGAAGATATTGTTTGCATGATGAAAATGAGGTACTCAAAAACAGGGCTTCAGCACGCAACAGGCTGAAATGGCTCAGATCCTCTTCAGACCAAATGAGTTCTTCGTCAGAAAATTTTTGAAGTTTTGCGAATGTGAATTGAACTCATTTGAACATCTTGTTGACTTGAAGACACCACGATAACACCCAGGTACACCAGTTTAGGTCTCTACTTTTCCATAGGCATGTATGCTCGAGAGAGCCCTGGAGACGTGGTGGGAGGGTCATTTGCCTTGGCCATAGCTACTGGTTCCTTTTGGCTGTGGAAAGCCATTTGCGGTAGTGGGACTACCTTGAATCGTGTGGCAAAAGCACGAGGGCGTGCGTGAGCGGTCAGGTGGCCGGTTGGTGGAGATCTTGGAATTGATAAGGGGGCCCGCTATCCAATCACAATATATAATGACATGTATATTTAAATAACAGAAACATATCCTGGACGGCGAAATTCTAGGCGATTGCAGCAGCCAGGAGACCGGCCACAGCTTCCTTGCGCGCTGCGCGGCTTCACCCTTGCTGTCAGCCGCGGAGGCCAGGCATCGCCAGAATGGGCAAAATCTCCCATATATTGATCGGGTTAATCAGACTCAATAGCTGTTAAATAATTGGTTCATATATGAATAATATCAATATATGGGTTAATATACAAATCATATCATCATCATCATCATCATCACCATCATCATCATCATCATCAACATCATCGTCATCATCATCGTCATCGTCCTCATCGTCCTCATCGTCATCGTCATCGTCATCGTCCTCATCGTCATCGTCATTGTCATCATCGTCGTCATCGTCGTCATCGTCGTCATCGTCCTCATCGTCATCATCGTCATCGTCATCGTCATCGTCGTCGTCGTCATCATCATCATCATCACCACCATCATCATCGTCGTCTCATTCCCCATTAATATAATAAGCCCAATGATAAACCCTGATTTTGCCCGAGATTAAATTGGCTAAATAAGTGGTTTTTCAAACATCTCCAAATAATAGTTGTTTATGCATTGGATTTACCATGATTTACCTCATTGGCGGTACTACATTCCAACATGTCCCAATTTCACCAACATTTGGTTGCTTGGTGATTGGTGTGGCAGAAACCGATAATCCCTTCCCCGCTTCATATTTAGCATCCCCGGTAGACGTAAGGGATAAAAACACACCAATGACTTGAAAAAAATGCTCCCAAACATCCCCAAATGGAAGCTCCAATATATTGTAATATTTGAAAGCAAAACAAAAAACCTATGAATCATCAACATCCATATATGGGAGTTACCCCCGATTGTATGTATATATTATATATAGATGATGATGATGATGACGATGATGATGATGATGGTGATGATGGTGATGATGATGATGATGATGATGGGCAAACACTGGAAACTATGGGAACATAGCAGTGATATCAATCAACATTTATGGGAACATATGTTTAATATGTTATAGGTATGAAATGAGGACCTAACCATCAAACGTATGGAAACATCGTTGACAAATTGTTTGGCTGATGATTATGACCATTTAATTATGGGGATATACTGCCGTGACATACCAGTAGGGGGGAGGGAGGGGGTGTGGGGGGGGGGTCCGGGGACCAGACTCATACTGTATGTCATTTACATAACATCAAAGATCAACCTGAAAGGATGCGATGTTTGGTTGGAATTAGACACTGGCTGAGATTTCACCTCCGCAAAACAGGATGCTTTTTTCATGTCCAAACATCACCTTTTTTCCGTGACATTTCCCTGAAACAAGTTCTGGAGCTTGGAACTGGGCTCGGAAAGAAGGGTAGAGCAATCTGGAGCCAGCAAAGGGAACGTTTGAGGCCTAACTGGAATGACAATACACACCTTGAACCCCGAACCTTCAACCCCTTCACAGAATTCACAATACTTTGCCATTTGTGATTATTTATAATTACATTAGTTACATTACGAGATATCTAGAGAATATATTGTATACACACTATTTATTATTCACTGCATTATTCCCATTTTGTGTCTCTACGGAAACCATAAAGGTTGACCCCTGTGGATGGTAGAAACCCAAATCGGTTCACCCCTAAATTGGACAGAAAAAAACCGTGGGTTCCCTGCCTATTTTCACATCCCCAACTTGGCAATTTCTAGGGCCCCACCGATATTTGTTTGGTCACCCCTGGGATTTCTCCAACACGTCCCTTGGATCATCCCAATCATAAACCTGCTTAGATAAATTCCAATTTTTCATGCTTTTTGATCCTAATTTCTCATGATCTCTCGAAAATTGCCCATCGATGTGCCAAAAAACCACTTCGAGGCCGGGGGTGCTGGCCGGAAGTTGCCAAAGACATTGGAGCTGGAGAGATGCCTCGTTCCTTGAGCTTCACGGCCCCTGCGGGAAGGGTTGATGGATAGGCGAGCATCACAGCAATGACTAAGGGCGAACCATCTGAATGATGGGGACGCACCTTTGGAAGGGGGGTTGGCTGGTTGAATCTCCGTGAAATTACGATTTCAGGGGGGAACATAAATCCAATTATGATGGAGCCAATACTAGAAGCTTCGCTGTTGAAACATATCTTCGTGCTTGGTCGTGTACCTTGTTTTTTTTAGGGTGCTTATCCATGTGACGGCAGAGTCCCTGCAATACTTGAATCTTTTTCAAAAAGGGCAAACCACAAACTCCGAACCACCAGAGAAACCTGATACTTGGATGTGCATCTCAGTTAGTATATTAGTGGTTGATATGACTGGTTAGTAAGCCCATCAACTGGGGTTATCACACATATTTCCTCAGCCGTTCAGCTGGGATGCACATCCAAGAGGTAAACAAAGTAAGATGACATAATCTACCACTTTGTCTAGGAGGATACAGTACTGTAGGGTTACTGTATGTTACAGTATCTTTTTGGATGCTAGGCAGGGGGGGAAAACATTGGGTCTATGTACCGCGCTATAACCCCCAAACCTCCATGAACAACCGGAGTTTAACACAAAAAAACATTGCAAGTGGATTGTACATGGCCCTACTACTTACCTGCAAGGTCGTGGTCCCCTAGGTAAAACTCGATTTATCGCCCCCATCCAACGTGGCTAGCGACCTTGTAGACTTTCATTGGCCCTATTAAAATCGGTGACCCAAATTGTTAAACCCTTTCGTGTTTTTACTTATATTGTTTTGGGTGCATGCTCTGAGAGTCAACGTAGCAATCACCAAAAAATCTTTGGTTTGACTAATTGCGAATTTGGGGTTTTCACTTCGATGTACGCCATATGGGATATTATTCCATCAATATGGGATTTCCCATTAATTTGATTTGGCGGTTGTTGAAACCCATTAGTTATATATAGAAACATAGTTATACATAAATCACCCCGTGTTTTCCTCAAGGCCACCAGCTCTGAACTCTTGGATGGCGTGCTGCGCAACATCCGCTGCGCACGCTGCCAGCAATGCCCTGAAGGTGCCCCAAGGGCCAGGGCCAATGGAGTCGTTGAAACCGGAAAAACGTGGGAATGAGGTTGAATTATTCAATATAAATATGGAAAACCTATGGTTTCCCAAGGAAAATGATTTGCAAATAAGGGTTTTTCCATATCTATGTTAATTGAGTGGAGGGTAATTGTGATCTACACACACGCACACACACACACACTGGATTTCATGATAACTTATTGGAATATCGTAAATATTGACCACAATGTTAAGGCTTAAAAATTAAGTGTAGGAAATCAAAATCATCCATCCTGGATAAACAGTTTGCCTCACATAGAATATGATTTACGGAAATCAATTAACCACTAGAGGGCAACAATTTTCTCTGAACAAACTGGTAATTGACAAGACCGAATCGACCCAGTGCATATCCGTACCTGAATGGATGACACTTCTTGATCTTTCAGACGTCAATCTGGAAGTATCTACCATTTTCGAGTTGATGAAATTGGAGGCGGACGTCTGGCACGGTCGGTAGCCGGTGATGGTTGCTGCGAGAACAGCGGCTGTCCTTAAATCTTAAGCATTCCAAGTCCAACTGACGTTCTGGAATTAGCCTTTTTTAATCACTCCCCAAGCAAAAAATCTGTTAGTGTTTATACAACTGCATGTTTTGATCGCACTGGTGTTTTATGATGTTTTGACCCCAAGAAATGGGTTGAATGGTACCAAACCAAGATTTTTTCCATGTTTGTTTGACCCCTGAGGCTGTGTGGTGGTCTTGCTACTTCAGGTGGGACCTGCGCCCCCAGCAATCCCTGAGGAAGCATTTACTGAATAGGATGAACATCTTGGTAGGAATGCGAGATTTTCGGAACCAAGCAGCTCAGAGGTATTGTTTGATGTTCAATGCTTGATGCAGTAATTATATAGGTTCCTTCTTTTGAAAGCTGGTGCTGAACAGGTTTCCCGCCCGCAGCATAGACCCTTGAGCTATCCTTATTTTTAGCATTTTTTCGCCAGGCTTTAGCCTTTCCAGCCGACTTTGAAGAGGCTGGAAGTGGTGTGGGTCAGAGATAGGTCAACTTTGAAGACCCCTTGGGATCAAGAGCTTTTACATGGTTTCTATTAGTTTCTATGTTTTTTACAACCAAGTTTGGATCTTGAATTTCTCAACCTTGGTGTCGCATCCAAGTTTTTGTTGGTGCGAAATCATCCCATGTCTGTTGAGCCTTGGTGGGTTCTCCATCCTTTCCTCGGTGTTGTGTGTTAGAATCCACAGTTTTACACCAGTTAATTGAAACTCAACTCCAGTCAACCCCCAATTAACATCAATTAGCCTCAAACAGTGTAATTAACATACTGTGGATGGAGGAAATCCTGCACCAGTTAGTAGATGGTTTATCCCATTGTAATCCCAAAATTTACAGTGTTTTATAGTTCCCAATAGTTACCAACTGGTGCAGGATTTCTTCCATCCACAGTATGTGGCGATATTTCCAATGCTTTCTTCACAAAACCCTGCATCTTATCTCATTTTTGTCCACCCAATCATCCCATTGACTTGCATTTTGTGGGTTTAAACTCCTTGAAATCCTAAGTGAATTATTACCCCTATCAGTGAATCGTTTTCACCCAACGAACTGCCAATGAATCAACCCTCCCGAAACCCAGCTGAACTGTGGACCTCTTCGGTTGAAGGTCACCAGCTGCTCCTTCTCCCTGCTGTTCTACTTCCGCGCCTATCAGCTCTTCCAGGACCGTTCCACAACATGTTAGGCTCAGGATCGAACGCCAAAGCACTTCTGAAGTTTCTTGCCCATTGTGACATAACATATGCATGGACAAATAGTATGAGTCATGTGGTAAAGCTATAATATATTATCCCCCAAATCAGTTTTTTTTATGGGTGATATAAACCATCGCCAAGTGGTAGGTTTATGGCATTGGCTTTCCCACATTAGCCGCAGGATTTTGATCCACATTGGACGCGGGCGCTTCTAGAGAACCTGCCGGCCCTGGTGAATACCCGGCGCGGCCAATGTGCTGCAGCCCGACGCCAGGAACTGCAGGTGTGGCAGCTTTTTTTGGGGTTTGGCTGGGTGGATCTCCATGGATTTGGAGAAACCTGGAGAAAGCTGGAGAAACATCTTGGAAAACACATTGGATCAGAGGGTACCTACCAGAGAACTGGATGGTAGCACTTGAAGGTAGGCCTTCCCACTAACCAGCCAGGTAGGTGTCGCTACTGTGGATTCCTAACCATGGAACATGAAAGTCTTGCGATTTTTTACATCAATACGTGGCCGGATTCAACAGTTTTGCTCTTCTTTTTCACCCATGCCCAAATAGTGAAGTCTCCAGAGTTTCTCCTCAGTTCTTTGAACCACTTTCTTGAGTGGGGAACTCCAGACCTTCTCCAAGCGTTTATTATGGATTTTCTGAGCTGCAATTGTGGAGACTCCTTCAAAATCTCTCCTGCTTCTCTCCAAATCATGGGTGGCGATGAGCCAATGTTGTTTTGAGCCATGCTGAAACTGCTTGCAAAAAACTCAGAATTGCTAGTGCCCAACACATATTCTGGGAATCATTGCGGATCGATTGATTCTCGTGCAGATTAAACCCCCCCTGAGCGTTTTGTTGGTGAAGTCTAGTCCCAAGTTTCCTTGGTCGAATTGTCTATGGGTTTGTTGGCCAAATTCATGCCCGAAGGAGGTGCGTCTTCCACCGCAAGAGGCGAGGCTGTGGCAATGGTACTACGGTGGATGGCATCTAAACTGCATGTTTTGATACTTAGTTGCTGGATGGAGGTGGTGTAAACTATAAAAACCTACCTTTCCCATCATATTCTATATATTATGCAATGCTTGGTTGGGGTAGAAGTACAACGACTGGCAGATCGTACAGCCCCATTAGTTTTAAGCTGCTCAAGAAGGACGTATGTAGCGTTTCACCAGCACACAACATATTGTTTTGGTTGATGCAAGATATGATATAATTGTTTAAGGGCTGCCGCCCCTGCCGCCGACCCCGGAAAAGAAAAAGAGGCGTTCATCCAGTGTGGTTCCCAAGATATAAGAATATAGCTGTGCTGAGGTGCTGATATTATCTGTAAGGTATTGGTCATTTTGTTGTGAAGAAGCGTTCTATCATGTTGCGCATGTCGGAATCGATCTATGTATCTTTCCAGCCCATCAAAAACAGCACGGCTCAAACCAGGCCTGAGTGCGAAAGATCGCCAGCACTGATTGTTGAAGTTGAAAGGTGACCACGGACAATTACACTGCACTCAGACTTACCAGGCGATTTTTTTGTCAAACTGTGATGTGCATAGAGGTCACCACATAGCATCACAAAGACCTAAGGTGTGGTGCATCATTTTTTTTGTGCGCCACGCAAAAGTTATTTGTTTAGAGTTGTGAGAACGACATGCTGCAGATGTGACTTGCCCATGGTTATTTTGGCTACACTTTGTTGCAGACTTCGACCCAAGTGAGGGAGCCAAGCCGTGGATCAAGAGGAAATGGCAAAATGTGAAGAAAGATGGAAAATGGATGGCGATTGTATGGTTTCCATCAGGTATTGTGGAAAAACGGTATGTGGGGGGTGCAACATGCAAGTTTTTGTAGTGAAGTGAGTCCATCTGGACCTGTTTTTGAATTTTCGAGGCTGGTTCAAGGAACAGGACGAGCCTGGAAAACGTTGTAGCCATGGAGGTATACGGTTGGAGCGCCAAGAGATATATGGCGCACCGGTCCCTGAGACGGCAGCTTTTTCTGAAGAATTGCTCCTGGGAAGACTTGGAAGCTGGAGAGTACTGTGGGACGGGGAAGGGAAAAGTGTGGAGCATTCCGACGTAAAGATCTTGCAGCCAAAAGGAGCAAAGGAGTTGCAGCTTGGCAGTCTCATTGGATCCAACCCTGTGCTTGTTCGATGAACATTGCGGATGTAATGGGATATCAGTGGTGACAAAAGGGGAAGTGTGTTAACCAAGTAGTATCAAACGGAGTCAAAGTTGGATGAGATGGACACAGAGTAGAATATGCGGATGGGTCTGGAATCACAGAAACGAATGTAGGAACATAGTGCTATACACAAGCGAAGCAGCATATGTATAGATGTGTGGGTAGGCTAAGGAGCAAGCGCATGGATCTTGCAGCCAAAAAGGGGCAAAGGAGTCGCAGCGACATACGGATGGTGTCTTTTTGTTTAAACAACATCTATGGAGGATTTTCCAGCAAGGCATGTTTGATTACCTCCGTACATCCATTTTTGGACAAACCCATCACCACAGGCCTTTGCTCCCAGCTATTGTGGGAGAGGGCTATGATGTGGGTCCTGGAGAGAGGCACGGCCGTGGTGGGTCCCAGGTTCAAATCGCAATGGCAATTGTTGTAGCCCATAGCAATGATGTTTTCCATAGAAGTGAAGATACTCGGTTGCAATAAGTCCTTTTCTTTTTTATCAATCAATTTGCATCCTTTTGACGATGCAATGCACGTGAGCTGCCTTGGCTCTTTAGGAATATCTGCAGTTACGTCAACCTATGCTCAGTAGTGCAGTCATATTTGTCAATGGAGGGATGATGGTGCGTCTACAGGAAATCTGCCAACCTATTTTGTCACCTGGAAACAGATAGGTGGGATCTAAGCGCCACTGAAACTCTGGCAGGCACTATGGCTCCAACTCATGCCAGCATGGTATGGCTGGCAAGGAGCCCTTGCTGCCCATACTGCCGCTGTCAAGCTTCAAACAGTGCGGCCATGGAAGACGCCAGGAGATCGTTCACCACAAGGAACTTCAAGGCTGACGCGGTGCCAGGCAGGTTGGACATCACTGACAACGAATACAGAGTATTATCGAATTGAACATATAAGTATATCTAGTTATATAAAGCTACTTGAATAGACATCTTTTTGCTGGCCTGAGACGCCTACCGGAATAGGTCCCCAAACCTTCTTTTTGGGGACCTATCCATCGCCCTCCAAGTGCGATCCCAAGATATCTCAAGACTATTCAAGCACCATAGATCACGGCAGAGTCCGAATTTCGTCCCATAACATCACTGTAAAACCACCATTGTTCCACCATATTCCATCATATTCCCTATGCCATTGCTTTCCCAAAATCAACCCATGACCAGATGATTCTGGGTACCCACATGCAGGGCCGTGGGCGCCGCCTGGATGCTATCCGCTGCCTTCCTCGCAGTGTTGAGGTTCCACCTCCGGCATTTCAGGAGGGATGTGATGCGATATGTATGTAGGACATAGGCTGCTGGAATTTTAGCACAGGATCGGCATGCAAAGAAACGTCTACCCGCTTCAATGAACAACCCTGCCTATCTATAAGCTGATAGTCCATAGAATTTCAGCCCTCCCTGAAACCTGCACCATCCTACGCAAAATCTTGCCAAGTAGTGACCTGAATAGACACTTTTTGTACTGGCCCGAGACCGTTATCGGAATAGGTCCCCAAAGTTTTTCTCCGGGGACCTATCGACCGGGATGGCGTCAGACGTATAACTCCATCAATGAACCATGAGCACCACATTCTACTGTGTGCCGTTCAAGTACGATTTCAAGATAGTTCAAAACTAGTCAATCACCATAGATCCCGACAAATCTTCACTTTCTTCCCCTAACATCGCCGTAAAACTACCATTGTTCCATCATATTCCATCACATTCCCTATGCCATTGCTGTTCCAAAATCAACCCATGACTAGATCGTTCTGGGTACCCACATGCAGGGCCGTGGACGCCTCCTGGATGCTATCCGCTGCCCTTGGCGCAACGTTGAGGTTCCACCCCCGGAATGTCTGGAGGGATGTGATGGGATATGTAGGTAGGACATGGCTGATGAAAGCTTATCACAGGATCTGCCTATACAATAGACAATTTGAGCGAGGCATAGACAAATTACCATCCCTCTGGCGACTCCTTCTAAGCAAAAATCGTCACCAAATATCACTAGTTAGTGGGTTCAGTCCAGCCTAAAAATAGTCATCTCAACCAAAGATCCCAAGCTGGTTGAAACGTGTTGCAGCCAAGAAATCATCAGTCAGCAGTGTGATAGCAAGTAACCACTGACTATCAATGGCCCGATCCAGTCTTTGGAGCCCCTGCATCGTCGGCCAGAACGGTCACAGCTGTGTCTCTGTCCGGAGCTGAGAGCGGTGCAAGGGAAGAGGTCCCCAAAACTTGTTGTAAGGGACCAGAGCCACCAACAAGTGATAGCTAGTGATGCCTGTTTCTTGGGAAGATCTGCCAGAGGCCGCGGATGGAAAATGCGATTTCTGTCAAGTAGGAAACGGATGTGAAAAGCAAACGGCTAGGCGGGATTGTTCGCGGTGACGTTGCTTGCAGGTTGTGGTGGAAGTGTGGACACAGCCTAAATCCAAAGGAAATATGGCACTGTAGGCAGGGAGCGCAGCAGTTGGTCATTTGCGATTATGTGGGCTCGCAGCAAGAGGGGCCTGTACATGCGTCAATCGGCAATGATTCATCTCCAGAAGGTTGTGGCTAAAGCGCCGGCAGCTTTGCAAACTCCATGGACGAGAGGTGATCTTGCAAGCGTGTCTGTGTTTTTGAAAAAGGCTCCGGGTGGGGTGGCAGGGGTATATTCCGGGAAGATGGATTGTGCATTGGCAACACGGTGTTGTTCGATTGAAAAGGTAGGTAATTGACCGGAGAGCATGGTGTTACAGAAGAGATGTGTGCTTGAGCATGTTTGCCAGGAACTGGGATTCGACTTGCCTTTGAAGCAAGAGGGCAAGAA